GAGAGAGAGAGAGAGAATGACTATTAATTGACATAACAATGTGTAATAATTATAATGATATGACTCTTAGGTGTGATATATTGTGGAGAGTTAGAGGAAGAGACGGCTATCGATAGCATAGCCGCGAGTTATGAGAGATATGGCAATGGAGTCGAAGCACCGGAAAAGTTGGAAATCATTAAAGAGAAGTGCAATGAATTGGGCTCAACAAGCAGTACCGGTAGTAAATTGTGAGTGGTAATCTAATTAAAGATAACTAACTATAACAATAATAGCCATTATTATACTAATTTGTTTTAAATGTTTTTGAAACTTTTTAAATATAATTATTTAATATTTTTTAGTATAGATATTGATCTTTTTTGTATTACACATACGACATATGACACGACATAGTTATTAATTTTTTTAAAAACTGTATGTACAGTATGTAAACTGTAGTAGTGATTAAAAAAATTATTATAAATCATTAGTAAAATGTTAGTTTAGTTTTATGTTATGTTATACTATTGAAATAAATTAACAAATTAACTAACAAAACAATAAAAACAATTAAATGACCCTGATACAGCTTTTGGCACGTGGTGACCGGGATGAAATGGGCGGGCTATCTGAAACCAAAGGTGCGCGACATGATTTTGGAGAGACCCTCCATTGCCTTCTACGAAAAGGTCATCTCATTTTGCGCACTACCCGATGACAAACAGGTGAAATACGGCCCCGTTATTAACGCCAAACTCACCGAGACCAAAAAACTACGCGATCGGTACCTTGGTTATCTAGAGGGGGCTAGTACGATGACGATAATTAACTTGTCTGAAATTATATGATAAAATTTATAGTGCTAATTAATTCTACTAAAGCACATTCAAATTTTAGCTATATGATTTATATATTTAATTACGTTGATTTTTTAAAGTTTAATTTAAATATAAATATTTCAATTATTATACTTTTATAACACACATAGCATTGACCGTGACTACTGGACTAAAGTGGTCGCTATGCACGATGACCTAGATGGTTTCAGAGAGTTCTCACGCAAACGCATCGAGGTCTATCCGGACATGTTCTATCGGGTAGAGAACTATACGGGAGTGAAGGCGGCCGAAAAGTGCGAGATGAAAGAGTCCTACCCCGAGGCGAAATACAAGTCGCACACTGTGCTAGTTTCAAAAATAATGACCAAATACTACGATTCGGCGCTTTGATCACATTTTTTGTAACTATTACAGTTAATGTTTATTTTGCAAATTAATAATTTGTGTAACGATTTTAACATGTCATATTTGGTGATTTTTGTTAATTATATTAATAAATTGTATGTTTTAATATTAATACTGATTTTTATTTTTAAAATTCTATACTTTATAAAAAATATGGTAATTTTAGACAATAACTGTTACTAATGTAAAGTCAATTTAATATGATTGTACTTTTTATTTATTAAATTTAATAAGCTTAGTAAACGTAATTTATAATCAATTATTCAATGTTGGACTGGAACAATGCAACATGGTTGTCACAGTATTGAGCCAAATACTCGACAGCGATGTCAACGGCGCCCTCGTAAACCATCTGGTTGCAAATGTTATTGAACACGCCAATTTTGCCGAACGCGTATGTGTTCTAATAAGCAAACATACAATGTAAAAATTAATTGTATAACATATAATGTAATTGTGCAGATTGTGCCTGTTTATAACTTGGCCTTGTTATTTTTTAACTATCAAAATATATGTTTTAAAATACTTTTACAAGTTAATAAGCTCTAAAAACTCTACCTCGTTCAAATTGAAACACCTATTGTGGAAGGTGTCGACAAACTTTTTATAACAAGACATGTCCTCGCTCAATTCCAGTTTGCTGTTCAATAGCTGCTCGGTTTCCATGGCTGTGAATTGTTGAATACTGTTCACGTACTCGTACAGGTGTGTGTCCACGTACTCTCTGCCCTTTAATAGCCGGGCCAACTCATCAACGTAACTATAAATATAATATTATTATATTCATCCAGTAAATCACCTTGGTACATTATTTAATAAGTTTTATATTTACATTTGTTTCTCATAGAGATCGTCGGTGGAGGCAATGTTTTTCTCGGCCAACTTGATCGGCACGTCACGGATGTTGACGTACTCGACATTATCGTGATGAACTTGGTTAAACGCGGCCGGCACTTTCTTAGGTCCTAGGTGAATTAATTTACATAATTATTACAAAAAATAATATGTTATAGTTTAAATAAATAATAATAAATTAATTAATTTAAAAAGGTTAAAGTAAACTAAATCAGCCCTACGTCAAATTAATTAAATAATTATCTAGTTACTCTAATAATAAAATTATAATTAAATCTAATATTTATATTTTTATGTTTGTCGTTAAATTACCAAGGAACTCGGATACATGCTGGTGGGCGATACTCAAATCACCATAATGCTGCGAGTGCTGGGTGTGCGTCTCTTTGTCCATGGTGAAATTATTGTGCTCAACGATGTAGGCGTACTGTTTGTCCAAGATCTCGATCTGGGGGTCATTGGCCTCGCTATCATTCAACCAGGTGACACCGAAAAAGCCACCCAGGTAAGTTTTGCGGACAGTGTCATGTGTGCACATCCAACTCAACTCGTTGTATTTGGACGAGGTAATGGCGTACACATTGATGTCGGTGGGCAAGTGTTTCTCAAACATTGAGCCTGTTAAGTTATTTAATTAATTGGTTTGTTATTTACACATGATAGTTTTATTTTATTTAATTGTTATAATTTTTATTTACCTGAATCGCAGGCTTCCAAATAGAAAACCAGCTGGGCAAACTTTTTGTCCGTGTTCATTTGCTTTAGCTGTGTGTTCAGCTCGTCTGCGTAGAGATAGCCCTTCGGGAACAGTACGGAACCTAATAAGTAAAAACAATAACAACATGGTATAATTAAATAAAAATTTAATTATTTAATGCATTTATTGAATTAATTATTTATTGTAGTAACAGCACTTACCAACTGAACCATGGTCCATAAAGTAAACAAACACCTTATCGTTTGGCCCGCTCTCGATCACTTTTTTACCCTGAGCTTTCAGTGTGGGGTCTCCTCGCAGAATAGCCAAGAAATTCTATACATTACATTTAATTAAACATGTTAATTTTAAAAATAATTGGTTTTGTAACTAGGTAATTTAATTTACCTTGGGTGTCACATCGGCGCCCACATAGTCCTTAGGCACACCGGCGTACACATCCTCACCGTCGAGGGCGTTGACAATTTTACCCTGGGTGGGGTTGGCCTTGTTCAACGCTAGATCGTCGTAGTGCATCACCACGATGTTCTTCTCGGGTATACCCTGTTTCTTAACTGTTTGGTAAGCGTGGTATACGTTGGCCTATTAGGGTAATGAAATATTTTATTATTAAAAAAATAATTTTAAATTATATTTTAACATTTTTTAAATAAATTATTTTACCGAGATGGCATAGTTAGACCAGCCAATACCACCGGAGCACAATAGCACCCAGGTCTGACCCTGAGCCTCCTGCTCAAAAACGGGCGATGCGTTCACCGCCAACACCACAGACAACGCCAAACACAGCACTAATTTCATTATGATATTTGTTATAATAAAACCACAAACTAACCAAGTACAACTAATACGTGCCTGTTTATATACTCTGCATATTAAATGTATGGGAATTTGTACACCACTCACTAACTGTGTAGGGGGTAAATTATTTTTCTAGATAACATTGCATAGGCATTATAAACCCCATGATCATTTTTAATAAATTATCATTTTATAATTAAAAAGGTTTGATTAAATAACCATGCAACTCATAATTTTTAATCAATGTGATTTTATTTAACTACTATTAAGTTTATGTTGGGTAAATACAGAAACTTTTTCTTGTGCCATTTACTTTACTTAATAGCATAATATTCAGTGTATTTAGTAGCTTATTTCATATTATATTTATAACTCACTAAGATATTATTTTAATTATGCAATTATTATCTAAAAGCAAGTTGCATATTTTAATCCTATAATATAATCATGTACTATTAATTATAATTATATTTGGTAATTTTTTTTTGTAAATTTATTTAAATTATAATTATAATAAATTGTTTATAAATTATATTAATTTTAAAACTAATATTTTATTATTGAATTGATATAAATAATAGTTTAATTTAATTAATTAAAAATTAAATAGGTCATAAAAATACAATGAAAGTGTAGAGATAGCTTTGAGTGTTTAAACGTGATAAAACACGATTCTGAGTAAAACTTGAAATATATCTACAAATATATTTTGGATCAAATTTCATTGTCAATGTCTTCGTACTTCAAAATAACAACATGTGTTTAAAAATACATAAGATTACAACTTATAATTTATAAGTACTACTTTTCATAGTACATGTACCGTATTGATTTTGACCTTACAACGTGATCATAATAAATTAAAATATTGTTAATGATCATGAAATTATTCAATAATTTATACATATACAGTGAACCAAATAACAATCTTTAGTTCGGAAATCGTTAATAACTTTTGACTGGGTGATTCGATTTTGGATCTGTTTTCACAGAATTGTTGCCTAATAACATAAGTTTAATTCAATGTATAATTTGCCCAGGTAACTATTACGGCTACAGAAATATATAAGATCTAGTAACGGACAAACTTCTCATAGAAAAGCATTGATTAATTTTTTTAATCAAATAGTGTACAAGTTCTAACCTAGATACATTTTCAAAAATTTATTTTTTGGAAAAGTTTAGTATAAGTTAAAGGTGTAATTTGTATATTTTGAAAATTGTGTCAAACAACTTGTCGTCTCTGTAATGATGTATTTTTATAGCTCAATAAGTACTTGGTAGATTTTATTAATTAATACACCAAATTATTTAGAATAAAATATTAGTTGATACCTATTTCAGGAAATTTTTAATAATGAGTATTTTGAAATTTTACTAACTTTAAACACTTTTAGAACAATCACGGTACATTTTGAGATATTTCCTGAAATACGTATCAACTAATATTTTATTTTGAATAATTTGGTATATTAAACAACAAAATCGACCAAGTACTTTTTGAGCTACAAAAATACATCATTACAGAGACGACAAGTTGTTTGACAAAATTTTCAAAATATACAAATTACACCTTTAACTTATACTAAACTTTTCCAGAAATTAGATTTTTAAAAATGCAACTAGGTTAGGAATGGTATACTAATAACCTTAAAACTGCTGTAATGTCTTTTTGTTGGGATGATTATTCAATGCTTTTCTATGAGAAGTTTGTCCGTTACTAGATCTTATTTATTTCTGTAGCCGTAATAGTTACCTGGGCAAATTATACATGGAATTAAACTTATGTTATCAGGCAACAATTCTGTGAAAACAGATCCAAAATCAAATCACCCAGTCAAAAGTTATTAACGATTTTCGAACTAAAGATTGTTATTTGGAAAACTGTATGTATGTTGTCAATCATATTATTTAAGTTTTGTATACATAATTAATAAATTATTTATTTCATAATACTGCAAATAAATTATTTATTTTTTATAGTAGACCCAAAGATTTATACAATAACTAAATTAATCTAAATACAAGTTTTGTTATTAATATCTCTTTTTAAACTTAAATTAATTAAAGTAACTTTAAGTGATAGAAAATACACTTATAAAAGTTTTATGATAATAATTTAATATGTTCGCTACAAGCCAATTGATTTCAATTAATAAAAGTATAATTAATTAAAACTTACATTTTACTAAACTTATATAAACACACTATTATATCATGTAAAGTTACACGTTGCTATTATGATAAATAAAGTATTTAAGATACATTGTCAAACTATTCAAAACTACTGAATTGTATTCTGTATTGATTTTTATATAAATTATTATAATTTACTACTAATACATACGTCTATTGTACTGTACAACAATATTAAGGTAGGTAATATTTAATGACAATAATTAAATT